AGCCTAATTACATGGCCAGAGTTTCGGAGGTGCTGAGGGCACCCGAATTTCACAGACTCAACACAGCTGCAGCAAATTGAGCCCATCAGCTCCTTCATCTTCACTGAAAGGCATTTCCTGCTTTTTAATCACCAAAGTCCTCTGTAAGACAAACATACTCACATATGTAACAAAATACCTCTTATTAAACCGACTGATACAGATCATTTAGAGTGTTGACTACCTCAGCCTACAAACCTTGCTTGACTTGCAGAAATTACTGCTTGCGGGAAGTCTTTACCCTGCCTAGAACACCAAAGTGCCCATTTCTCTTCAGAAAATGGATGGAAAGTAGATGCCCAAAAGCCTTTCCACCAAATACGCTGGCAACTCTGAAATGAGATTTAAGCAATTGCTGGTGACGTGACGGTGACTCAGAGCGTGCCAATCCCATGCTCAGCCATGCCTGGAGACGGTTCTTCCCCATTCACCCCTAGCGCTCCGGGCTTAAGATTACACCTGATTTGAAGCATCCCTGACTAAATAAAACAAGCCATAAGCTGATCGCCTCGTGCAATGTGCAAGCACACAATAGTAATCACAGCTAATAACTCCACTAAATGCTAGGCTGCACACACCTCCTTGTTTGGTGTTTGTTTTGTATACAGAAGGTAACATCGACTGAATAACGAGGATGCCAAGTTACAGATGGGGTTGTGGAATCGTATTTGACAGCCGATTAGAGTAATCTGACAGAAATGATGACTTAATCACCACGACAGACTCCAAATTCCCAGATAGAATTCCACCCAGGTTAATCTAATTTCCTTGCAATATTTTTGCCAGAAATAGACTCTTAGCCAGCTTGTTTTCTCCCATGCAGATGTCACATGGCTTTGACAAGAATGTAAATAGGTAGCGTTATTATTGTTGAAAAGATGACTTTGAGGCTCTAAAGCTGGAGAGGATGCGTGCCTTTGAGAGGTTTTTGGGTTGCTCTGCTGTGCTTTTTTTCTCTGTTGAAGTTATATTTACATACGGTGGGAGGTACTCAGGAAAAAGAGGGGGAAAAAAAAGATGTAACTAGTCGATTGTAATTCTAGGCCATGGCTCAGTTCTGCTGCTACCCTCGACATAGCCAGCAGCCAGATTCCCATTGATTTCAGGGGGATTTTCAGGATTGCATGTTTGACAACTGTTTCTTGTCCTTTTTGGTTCCCGTGGACCACATCAGCACCCCTGCTTGGGGTGCACCCAAGGAGAAGCGGTGATGTGCTTGGCCTCGGGCTTTGGGTGTCCTCCGTGACAGCACAGGCAGCGGATGGAGCCTCCGCTTTGCTGCCAGCGCTGCCGCAAGGCACCACGCAACCTTGGGCAGCAGGCACTTGCCTGCTCTCAGTTGTAAAACGGTGTTGATGGTGTGTTTGGAGACCTACGGATAGAGAGCGGTTATAGGAAAGGTAGGTCGTGTCGTTACTGGCGGCACAACTGCATCCCGTAGAGCTCTCTAAAATATTGCCAAGGAGAGGTTATTCCATACAGCCTATTCTCCAGTCTGGTTTCGATATGCCCACGCACAGTGCTTGCCAGGGGAAGCTGCCCACACTCAGAAAGAACTTGCCTGAGAGCTGTGTTGTTCTCTTTTACTATAGGGTCTGAGCACAGGATGATGTTAATGTCTATATAAATTATTTACTGCAGTTACTTTTCTCACTCTTGCCTATTTGTTAATTGCAACTGTGCATTCATAAATACTGTATTTTTATAAACAAAGCTTTCTGCAAGCACAGAAGAAAATGTTTCCTGTTTTTCTGTGTGACAACAAGACATACTGAGAAATCACTTACCTTGAGATCCATAAGTGTATGCCTTTGTGATGTATAGCTACAATAACAGCTTTCTGATAAGACATGAAATCCTTCACTTCAGTAGATGACATGATTCTAGTGGGTGGCATCTAATTTGAAACAGGTTTATATCATCTATAATCTTTTGGAGGGCCTCAGAAAGCACAGCTATTTTATTATTTTATAGCCTGCAGTTATACAAGCAAGATATAAAACGCACAGATTATTTTCTCTTTTGCTCATCATAGAGTGAAAGGATAGTACCTATTTAGCCTTTGTTTCTGCCCCTTTAATTTTCTTATTCACTGCACACTTCTTTGAGAGTCATTCCTTTCTTTTATTTTATTTTCTTTTTTACACTTACTTTTAAATATTTTATGGGTAGAGAGCTTATAATATGTATTGTCACGGCAGTTGTCTCTAGAGGTCAGCAATGAGTTTACTAATGAGATGCGAACCAGTGACTCTGTAAAACCCATTTCAGGTTATAAATGGCATGTTTTATTGAATCTAGTGTTAAAGGTTGTTAACGTATCAATTGGTGATGGTCAGGGTTAAACAAGCTTCAACACGAGCCCTCTCATGTTAGGAAACTGTAGGTAACGTATTTTTCCATCTTCCTCTTCGCTGAAGCCATGTTTGTGTATCGCATCCATTTTACCATGGGTGTTCTGCAGTTTAAACCCTCCAGGCCTGATCTGAATCTTTTATTAGTTTTGCACCGATATAATTTTGTTAAGCACCACGGCATCACTCCTGACTTCGGCTTGCTGGTGCGAAGAGAATTTGGGCCATGGGTTTTTTAGCAGGAACTTTTGAAATCAAGTCAACCCAGTTGAAGCATCTTGTTAAATCTTGCCTCTTGCTTTGCCAACGTAACAGATTACTGACTTAATGAACTTGGGGTAATTATGCATACAGATGAGGATGATTTCCGATGTGGTAACTGTGTTTGTCAGGTGACACTGATCTTTATATTCTGACCGTGGTGCTGCAAAAATAACTTCTTCACATGAATTTGGTCTAAAGTTGGCTTCTCTGGTTCAGGCAGTTTGAAAAGTGAAAGGTTTTTAATGTTGTTAGAATTTCCTGTATTCAAAGTATCTCCGCTCAGGGGCATATAAGTGTAGCTAGAAAGAGCGATAGATTCTCTGTCTCCATAAGGTCTGGATTTGGGTTGGGTTTTTCTTCTATAACCTGCATATTCCCAGATTTACAATACTCGATTTTCTGTCCTTTGTTTTCTCACCACTCCATTGCTCCGCAGACGTCAATACCTGCAACGGGCTCATGGAGCAAGTTACACCTTTTTTCTTCTTTCACTTTTTGCTTGCTGAGTGGACGTGCTGCATCACATTCCCATGGATTTGAAGTCTCCTGCAGTGCCCAATGTGTTGTTGATGCCAGGATAAATGTTAAGCACTAGTTAAAGAAGATAGACTACAATAGAAGTTCCCTTTTTTCTATAAATTAGATTGAACAAGAGTGGTGGCAGACAAGTGCTGGGCTATTAAAGTCCATTTGGGAAACAAATGATTCAAAGAGAACAGAATTGTTAAAACTGAAGCAAATTTATGCATCCTGGTGACTACATCCACCTTGTGGCTTTGACTTTTCCTTAGGGCACAGTGGGGAGTGTTGCCAGCGGTACAAGGAATGCATTGATTTGCAGGGCCAGGGAGCGTTCTGGACTTTGAGTAAATCTTAGGGAAACATTCACAGCAGTATTTTGTATTTTCTAAAGAATCTAGCAACTGTGTCCCTGGAGGTTAAGTGACTCCACCAAAAGCAATGCCGATTTGGTTTTCTGTGCTGCTTTGAAAGCACGTTTGATATGAGTGCATGGATGTTCTCTCCTGCTCAGCTGTTTTTGTTTCCCAAAGTTTGCCATAATAGTCTTTTATTAAAAAAATGGAATTGCCTCTGACATTTTCAGGCACTACATGGCTCTGCTGCACTAAAAAATGATGCAAAAGCAAAAAGAGCATGGATTTTTTTACATGCTCACGTGAAATGGTGAGGAATTGCTGAAGAGTGAAAAGGCAGTGGCCCTGCTGCTGCCGGAAGGTTTGTGCAGCCACATCCCAGCAATTCTGCAGAGCCCAATGAAAGAAAAGTGGGGTTTTTTTGCAAGCTTAAACGTCTCCCACACTGAAATTCAATATGAGGTCAGTTCTGAAGGCTTTTGAGAAGCTGTAACAAAGTTTCCCTGAATCCGTAGGGATAGGACATAGGGCTGGCTATAGCCAATGTCCAGTGGAAATGCCACGCGCTCTGATCAGAAGGAGCTCAGCTGTTGTGGTGTTGCCATTCCTGAAACAACAGAAAACACCATTCCTAAAAATTTTGTTGGAGTTATCAACAGTTCAATGTGGGGGAAGCATCATTTAGTAATGAAAGCTGAGGACACGCCGTACCCAGAGTGCTGAGGTAGGATGCCACATGATGCTCAGCACAGCGTGCTGCACACAGGGATCAGTTTCTTTTGCAGTAAGAGGGACGTGAATGGAGGAAGAGGTTGAAAAGGAACAAGTACGAGGAGGTTTTATGGAAGCCAGAATTGCGCCGTGTTGTGATGGAAGCCTTATGAATGAATGCATAATGTATCCTGAAAAAAAAAAAATAAAATAAAATAAAAAGATGAGATACTAAACAGTTATAGGAAGCCATTATAGGAAGCACAAGTCTCTTCCTCTTCAGTCCTGAAAGAATCAGCACATGTTTTTTTAATTATAAGCAAAGTTCATTTGTCAAACTGAACTCCTCTGAGTATGCTTGAAATGCTTGCTAGCTCTTAAATTACTTGAAAATTCCATCTCGGTTTTGGCAGTGGTTGAGCTCAAGGAAAAAAAGTTGGTAAAACAGAAACCAAGCATGCCATAAACTAACGAGGGCTGTAACTTTAGAGGTCTTCTGAAACTAGATACAGCAAATTAAAGTTTTATATGAGTCCTGTGGGCCCAATGATCTATTTTTTTTAATCTTCGTGGTTATAAAATGCTCCTTTACCCTTTTTTTTCTGTTAAAAGCCTATGATATAGTGTTATTTTGAATTTATATCATTTCAACATGTTTAATATTAATCACGTATCCTTTAAGCCCTTCATTAAAAATATGATTCTTGATTTTTATGACTATCCAACCTGCCTTACTCTCTTTCATTTTTGTTTTTAGATGCATCATCCTATTCAGATGAAACCCGCAGATAGTGAAAAGTCAAATGGTATGTGTTTAATTTATTTTTACTTAATTGTGACTCTCTCTAAACTAAAGCAAACACAACATTGTGAGAGTTTTTGCATTACTCCTTGTATGGTGAAAGCAATATGAGGTAGTTTCCCTACCCCTGACATGTTGGGGAAGATACTGACCTGCTCTGAACTCCCGTTTGTCCTCAGCTTTAAAGAAGGAAGGAAATATTCTGAAAAACGGTCTTTCTTGTACCTGCTGTATGTCACGGTCTGCCTCGCTACACGTCTTTCCCTTGTGTTCTCCTAGCGGCGAGGTGATGCAGGAGCACCTGCTATTGATAAGATAGAGATGGTGAAAAGAAAAAAAAGAAAAGAAACAAAAACCATTCCCATGTTAACAAACCATGTGAGCAGCTGATGGGCCTTAGACATTTGCCTAAACTTCCTTTTTATAGAATGATGCTGTTCTGAATTTGAGCCAAATTTAGGTTTTAATCATATGCTTAGTTCTGAACTGGGAAACCCACATTACAGCTCCCTGTATACTTATTCCTCTTAACGTTTGTAAAATGAATGCTATAATGACAGTAATATCCGTTCAGAATACTAGGGTACTGCCTAAGTGGATGTATATGACATGCAAAATAGACGGCATGCTAAACCTATTAAACATGCCAGGTTTGTATATTCAAGGAAATAAGATAATCGGATGGTAACGCAGCCTGGCGGTGTGTGATTCTTTAAAAATATATACATGTGTATATTTTGCCCCTTGATTTGTTCCTGTAATTTTCTAAAATATATGTTAAAGATATCATCTGCCTTCTTAGATTGCAAGAGCTTCATTTTCCCATAAGGCCCACATAATCAGAGCTGGTTCCTCCAACAGGCATCTTTGCACCTCATTAATTAGTAATCAGGGCAGAAGCCGTGCACTCAGAGATGTACATACCTGCAAATGTAAATTATGATTGGGCTCTAAATCTCTCCGCAAGGCTTTTTTAAGGCTTCTTTTTTGCTAATTGTAGTGCATCCCATTTTCAGGCTTCTCCAAGGATTATAAAGTTTGGAAGGAAATTAAAACTTCACATTGTGCTAGCTTTCCTATTACGACAACTTTCAAACCAAAACTGGCCACAGGCACGGGAAATTTGAGCCATCACCCATTTGTAAGGGAGCAGTGTTCTCTCTCTTGGGTTTAGTTTTAGCCGTGATTTGTTCATTTCTTTGAATGGTCAGAAGAGAGGCCAAGGCACCTGCATGGGCAGGAGGACCAAACTTCACAAGCACCACTGTCGTCAAGGAGAATTTTGCTGTTGGAATCCAAACTCTACTCCCTAGTGTTTATTGTGCTTGCAGTGGGCAAAATTTTCCCTTAGGTACAGGAACGTTGGCCTGGACCCTCTGAACTAAGTATAGCCTCTATGGGTTCTTCTTCCAAAGATAAATTTCACCTCAAGTTCTTTGGCAAATTAGAAAAATAAGAGGCAATGGGCCAAAATAGACTTCCAATGAGTTACTTGTTCATTGCCTGAAGTTCTGCTTCCTAAAGGAGATTGAACATACTGGCAAAGCGCTATGGGGAATTGTGCAAATTCTGTCTTGCTTTGCAAATAGCACCTGCTTGGAAAGCCGGGTAGGTTAGCTTCTGCTGCTGTTAGGCCAGGATTATCTGCATGATACTTCTGTCTGCACTGTGGGAATACCCTTAATCTTCGGAGTATTCTCTTGCACCTATCCCTATCATGAAAATTATGAGGGATTGGCTTTTTTTTTTGCTTTTTTTTTCTTACCTGCCTTTGTATTTTGGGGAAAAAGCATTGGCAGATCAGAGGCTGCAGTTGTCAATTTAAATACCTTTTTAAATTTAGGCTCCTGAAGGGTGTAGATACTTCTGGTAGGCAGGTTCTGTGGGTGGTGAACTCTTCTTTTCTAATGACTGGGGAAACAGAAGGCAAACTAATACCATGATGATGGTAACAATGGTACAGCTCCTTGGAAAGACGGGGCGTAGGCGTGGGATCCATGGAGGAGGTGAGAGTTTGCAAGTAGCTTGGCAAGCCGAAAAGAGAAAGAACAGCAGCATGGGGGATGCGGAGGCCTGTTTGGCACGTGTTTCCCGTATGCTTCAGGCTATCCATCTGAGGAGGTATATTATCTGTGCCAACAGCAAGTTGTAAAGTGTACCTCTTCAACCAGATTGGTAAGTTCAAAGGGGAAAAGAAAGAAAGCATGCCAAGGCATCTTGGTTTTCATCATGCGTGGCGTTTGAGCTTTTGAGGAAGGCTTGAAACCCTTTGATTTCTGAGTACTAGGAGGATCCCACTACATTTTATAGTAAAGTGGTGTTTCTCAAGTTTCAAAGAGGTTAAAGAAATTCTCTTGGTCAAAATTTCTAGGTAGCTTGTGGAAAGATATGTAGGAGAGGCTGAATATTCATTACAGTTCTTCTGAGCTTGCACATATTTGTGAAGGCTTAAGACCTTTCAGGTTCCACAGGCAGGAAGGAGAGGACCCCTCATTCATCTTACAGAGGTTTTCAAAGAACAGTATTTGCTGTGTGATAAGATGTCCCCTCCCCATCCCATGTCCCTTGCAAAAAGGTTTGAATGAGCATCTGAGCCCAGGAGTACCAGGATGAAATGCTCCTCCTTCCCCATCACTGTTCCTGTCTTTAGATGTAGACGTCGCTTCAGAAACCTGTCCTTTAGCACAAAAGGCTAAGCTCACCTTGTAGAAACTGGGAGATGGGTATGGAAGAGGCAGCTCCTGCACACGTTTGACTAAGTGCCTGGGCACTTCTGCAGCATTAGGACTCTTAGCAACCTGAAGATCTGTTTTCTTCTGGGTAGGCTGATAGATCTATACAATCATCTCCATTCCTTCATGTGTACAATAGCTCGTGTGTCTGACTCTGCTCGTGCAGATGAAACAGAGCTTAATTTCTTCCATCGAGCTTTTAGCAGCTAGAGTTGATGGGGAAAAACTTGCCTTTACATCTAATTAATATGTCTAGCTGAAAGGATTCTGAAAAGACTTTTATTGTTGAGAAATGTAACATCCCTGAAAGATTTTCAGAGGATGAATTTTGTAGTGTGTCCTGTTCTGAGCACCCATTAGGTCTAGTCTGACCACCTTTATTTGCTAGGTGGTTATTTTAACCTATCTACAAAGTTTTTTTAAGGATTACCTGCCAGAAAAGCATGGTTTCAAGACTTTGAAATCTACCATTGCTAGATTCATCTCAACTGTTAAGCACTCACCGTATTTGTCCATTTAAGGATATTTTCCCTTTTTCAAACCAAGGGAGTTCCTGCATTCTAATGCCGAAAGGCACATGAACACATGCTTGACTCTGTCTATGGCCATTAACATGCAACAATTTAGCAAATACTTAAATGTTTCTTGGATCAGGATTTGAATGCAGTCAGTACTTTCAGGCACATATCCTGAGGACAGTATGCTCTTAAATGGATCAAAGCGTAACCACTTCAGGGAAAATGACAAAATTCTCTGTTTTAAAAAAAAAGGGGGGGGGGGGGTGTTGCTGAGTGATCTTGTAATTTATTTTTATTTATTTTATTAGTGAAAACTTGAAGAAATAATTTTGAAATTCTAAGTGGCACAACTTTGCTGATTTGGAGGGAGTAATTAAATGCCATATGTTAGCACTAACACATAGAAAAGTTGATAATTAATGCAGGCAGCTCCAGATCCAGGTGTGACTTCGACAGATTGTATGCAAGGGTTTTTCACAGGCTTACAAATAGGGATAAAAAGTCTGTTTTCCCCCCTTCCCTTCTGGATGAAAAAAAATATATATATATACATAATTAACTATTTCTTGATTTGCTCAAAAGAGAAGGCAACTTCTGGATGGAAAATGCACTCTTTAACTGACTGGACTCCTCAAAAATGTATAATAAAGGGATATAACTGATTTTTCAGGACAGAATTTAGAGGGTTTAGAATAGAGAAAAAGAAAGTTTGTTGAATCTACAGGGAGATTTCCCATGATTATTACAGGGTTTAATTCTTTTGTAGCATACAGAAAATAATCTCTACTCCTTTATTCTCCTGGGTTAGCACAAGCGATCTAATACAGCCTGCAAGAAATGCTCATTACTGAAGTAAATTGAGTAAAGCTAAAAAATTAGACCCTTCAGGATGTTATTCTGCAAGTTGGATGTAGTGCTGTCAGAAGCAGGAGGTTCGGTTTGAAAAAAGCCCTCCCCCAGCAGAGGCAGACTTAATCTCAGCTAACCTTTGATGGCTAACGTAGCCCTCTGGATTCAAACACGATACTTAGGCACTCGTGCTAGCGATTGCAGAGCTAGTCATGATGGAGTTACAAGAACAACTCGTCTCACTTTGAAACAGATATCTATGCCTCATCACACAGGGTTCCTGCATTTGGGCAAAAGATTCCCACCCCAAATCCAGCACGCTTAGCCCTGGATGTGTTGCACTAACTGCCCTGGCAGCATAGCTAACCTGCGTTTGTAATATGTTTGGGGGGATTAGAGGTAAACCCCGTAATTAGTTACTGTGCAGTTTCACACCTTCCTTCATGTAACTAGAACTTCAGGCCTTGTTCACTGTGACCTTTTGGCTGCTTCTGCTCCATCAACGAGAGGTACTCAGCCACCCCATCCTACTAGCTGCTTACAGATGGTTGTATCTCCTTCATGCCCCCAGAGCGGTGCAAAATAGCCAGAAAGTACAACTAGGCCTATGAGCAAGGTTCAGAAATAATGATATCAAAGGCTTGCCAAAAAATTTTCATTCATTTTCTGGATTTTGAATTATTGAAACCTACCCGTAGTGTGGGAGAGAGAATTATCAAGCAGCAGTGAAATGCTTATGAGATGTGCACACAGGTGCTGACCCTTGTGCTCGCCCAAAGCGCTCACAGCTCCCAAGCTTTGTTCAGTCCCTCAGAGCTCGTTTATTCCTCCTGTCCCTGCAGCTGGAGCTCAGGACATGTATGCGTTATCATGATGACCAAGTTTTGACAGTTGGCTGGAAGGTAACAGCCCTATCTACTGTCAGTAGCAGGGGAGAGACTCCCATGAAACAAGCCATCCTGCCTTGCTGGGAGAGGTGAGATCAGGCACTCTTTGGAGGAGCTGATCTCTTGGCATTGACAACAGCCAATTGGTAACATTTTAGCTGAGACTAAAATTGAACACCTAAACTGTAGATGTCTAAAGTTAGGCGAGATGGCTATGGACTGCCATCCTTTCTCCAACCAGCAGCAGGTAGCACCTTTCCCGATCTCGATGCTTTGTTGGGTCGCGTGTGTTTAATGTTGGGCTCCTCATTTTATAGTCTGTGGGAGCAACCCAACAGGCACAGGCAAATCAGCAGGCTTGGCTGATCAAAACGGAAGTTTGCTAACCTCTAAATACGTTTCACCCATACTTCTTGCAGTCCTTTGTCTACTTGATTCTCAAACCATGCCTGCATGGCAGGTAAGAATTCATTTTAGAAAGAAAGGAGAGAAGTGGCGGACCAAAAATGCAGAAACAAATCCAGACAGCCAGTCTTACGGAGGTGAAAAAGCATTCCTTTCTCGGCATGAGACTATATCGCTAAAAGCTGTTTCAGCCTAATAATATCAGATGTTCTATCAGATGGAGTGAAAATGTGTCATTTTGATCCTGACAATTGTCCCTTTAAATGTTTTTTATGCTGGGCCCCTAGCCAAAAAAGAATAGCAATTTTCTTAAGCTTCAACACTGATCAGCGCTGACTAATAGCACTGAATGCAGAGCACGTCATCATATCAATATGTTTTCTGTACTCTGAGCATTCTTTGTGAAATCTGCATTTTTAAGATGTACAGTAAACGGGAGCTGGATGTTTAATTTACTATAAAATCACCCTCAAGCTGAAAACCTGCAAATCATGTTAGTTAAATGGCATATTTATAGGTTTGCTAGAGAAACTGAAGGAGGCCGGTGGGGAGTTTGTTGTCTGCTACTCTTTGGAAAATTAAAACAAAGCCTTCCTATTTGCATCTCATTTCTTTTGAATCTCCGTGTGAATCTCTTTGGTTTGAGTCTTTGTCCTTGCACCTAAGCAGGACCCGAGGGGCGTCCTTTGGGATAGTGTGGCAGGCATTCGTCCAACTCAGCCAGCAGCTATTTTTAAGAGCGGGCTGGGATCTAGTCACCCTTAGGGTAGACCTGCACACTGTATTTCAAGCCTAAAATCAACGCAAATTTAAACTGGCCAGTACTAGCTGACACAAAGGCAGAAGCTAAAAGAGGTTCATAACACAGAGCAGAAGGCAATGCTTGGACCCATGCTTGGCGCCAAGGCAACCCCCAGCCTGACCTCGGTTTGTGGTATGGAGAAATCCATACCTGGCAGCCCAGCTAGGTTCCTTGCCTCATGCCCTTTCCTGCAGCCTGGCCATAGTGTGTGGCTGTTCTCGAGGGGACAGGCTGGCCAGCCACCTTCCTCAAAGAGATTACTCAAGGCAATACAGGAATTGTAAGCAGCCAAGTTACAGGCATTCTTCCACCAGCAAAAGTGACTACCTAGACTCTCCCTGTGGCTGTGAGCAAGGCAAGTCAGTTTTACCATCCTTAAAGTGGTATCTGGCAGCATCAAGGCCAATTATATATTAAGCATCAGATGTAAAGTTTCATTTTAAGACATAAATATATGTATATACACACACACATATATGTGTGTGTATATATATATATAAAAATCCCAACTTGCAGGTCTTATTTGCAATCCCTCATATTCAGCTCCTGATCTGTATATAACTGGCTCATGCCATGCATTCATCATTTGTTAACCCTTTCTGGAGGGTTAACCTGAATGTGGAACCTCAATATAAAGTGTGAATGAAAATATTGAGTCTTGAGGAATCTCTGCTGAGAAAAACTTCTCCTAGGTGTTAAATTCACGCCAATTTTCTTGCAAGCTTGTAAAGTGAGAAGCTGGGATTGTAGGGGCTGGTCTCTGTTTTGGATTCTGAAAAATGCCCGGTCTTGGTGCTTGCTTGTATAAAAGCTACAAATACTTTTTAAACTCAGCTATTCTAAGGAAAAAATTACTTCAAACACCTCTCATGATCAATAAACACGAACCTCTTCTTTTTATTCTTGAAATTACTGAATGCACTTAAAATGTTGAAGTATAACACAAACAAAATCCTATGAAAATATATGCAGTTTCTTCTTCCTCAGCTGCAATTTATTCCATTTGACAAACTCGTGCTAATACAGGAGAGAGAGTTGGGGAGCAAGGGAAGATTTTTTTTTTTTTTTTGTAAGCCCAGAAATGAAAATACTTTGTTTCAAAAATAATTTGCACAATAATAGAAATAAGTAAGTGCACTGAAGACTCTCTGGAGTAAAGCTTTCCTTCTCTTTTTGCTTGCCCGCAAACTCTGACCGTCTGCTCATTAACAGTGAATTGGATTTACATGCCATTTCAAGAGAAGACGAAAGCACTGGTGTGTACACTGTATAAAAAGCACTTAGATTTTTGGTTTAATGTAGATGGGAGGGTGCGTTAACATTTTTAAGTCTTTCCAGGGTGAATTAAGTTTTGATGACCTATTTCATTTTTGACAAGAGTCCACAGCTTTAGTCCTGTAAATTTGAGTTTGATTAACAGGACTGCCTGTGCCCTGCTGCAGCAGTCTAGCTTTTGCTGATTTTGGTGACAATGCAGGCAGGAAATATTCTACCAATAATTCAGGTAAAGAACCTTTTTCATGGTTTTTTGCAAACTCAGCATCATTACAAATCAAAGGGTTTGGCGCTGGGAAAGCATTATGCAGCCCCCTTGTTAAAGTGATGCCCTAGAATATGCCTTGTGTCCTCTTGGAGGGGAGAGAGCTGTGTCAGTCTGAAAAAAAAAAAACAGGAAAATTTAATGCATTCTTTTTCCAGAGCAGTCGTTACACACCTGCCTTGCGAGTGCCACACATTAAGTTGGTTGAAATTGAAAGCTCAGATAGGAGCCTCTCTCTCAAAACATTTCTCAGGAATATTTTTCATTAGCTCGTATCGTTATGTGCACAATCCCTTCTTCACCCTCACCCCTGTCATGATTTCTTTCATACATGAGGGAGGTAAGGGAATTTATCTGAATTAAAATCTATGCAAAGATATCTTTACAAGTCTCTCTAACAGCCTGCTTTTCTCTTAGAAGCCATGATGGGGAGGCATATGCAGAATGACTAAGGCAGCCAATTAATATGTTACATAAACAGCAAGCACCACTAGAAAAAAGAGAGAGAGGAAGAAAAATGAGAGATTTGGGGTGGGGGAAAAAGGGGGGAAGGGAGGTTGTAAGTATAAAGTGTTTGCCTTAGGACTTGTCTTCAGTTACAGAGACAGACTCACATGACTGGAGCTTGGTTTGATGTGGTAATGAAGCATTGATCACAGGAAAAAGATGAAATGGCCTTTGCTCATTCATTATTTTTATCTTCTAGCTGTGGAAGACAGAAAATTGTTCATAGGAATGGTTTCGAAGAAGTGTAATGAGAATGATATCAGGGTGATGTTTTCTCCGTTCGGCCAGATAGAAGAATGCAGAATCCTTCGGGGACCGGATGGGCTGAGCCGAGGTGAGTGTGCAGTCTGTAAAGTCTCTTTCCTTAAGTGCTAATTGGGAGCTATATGTCACAGCCAGGGTAGGCATAGCCGCTGTCTGCAGCTAGAGGTTGTGCTGCAATATGTCCCACGTGATGAAGGTATCCACGTGAACTCTTCACAGTGACTGAAATTATCACCTTTTATTTCCAGTGTCAGAAAGGTCTCGGTGCCAACATATTAACTTGTGTTATCACCCTGTTTGTCAGCTGCAAAGGTTCCTTTGCACCCTGAGAAAACACCCTCAGTTTTGTGCTCTCACAAAATCAAAGATCCTTCCCTGACCCCATTTCTGCTTTGTAGCATAAGGCCGAAAAAAAAAAGGACTGTAAATGACTGCTTGAAGGCATACAGGGTCATGGGAACTGGCCCACCTTGTAGCACTATATCTCCTCCATTCCTGTGTTTTCTATAACTATATGCAAAACATAGGTCTGCTGTAACTCAGAAACAAAGAGGTTCGCTTGAACTTGAGAGCTTTGCCTGGACAAAACTTTGTAAAAAGAGCTTTTAAAGCTTGTGCCTCTATCACAACCCAAAAATCAGGGCAGAGGTGTTAAGCAGCACCACAGAGAGCGGTCAAGCGGCTGACCTGAACTTTGGAAATGAACTGCAGCACAGACTTCAATAGCCGGTGATCCCTTTTGAGTGCAAAAGTGCCTTTTGGGAAAAGGCCCTCTGAAAACATATTGAAAAGAAAATAAATGTATATTGATGATCCAGGCTGCATATTAACTCCATGGTATATGGACCTGAAATTATTCTCGGAGCATGAACCTTCTCAAAAAGTCAGTGCCAGGTGGTGCTGAATGGAAAAGAAAATAGTGATAGTCCTGTCTGTCAGTGGGGAAGGATGCTGTGGTACTAGCCACGGCCATTTAACGGCACAGGGAGTAAAGTAATTTTAAGTGTGAGTGTGGAGCTGTGAAAATATCATTTCTGTTTCTATAGAAAAAAAAAACACATAGAAAGCACAGTTTATGCATTTTATTACATTTTCAAAAGGCAAAGAAAAAATAATAGTTCCCATTTTGCATATAGATACAGGTATAGGTATTTTTCTTTACTTTTGGATCTACTTGTTTCCAGTAGGCAGGAATCCACAGTATTTTGTGCAACAATTTGTGGATGGGGTTTTTTGTTTTATGTGCAGCCCAGCTTCTTTAAAATGTCTATAAATTGCAGCAGGGGAAGTTGCAGGTATTCCTATATTTCATGGCACTGCTTGAAAGCACTTACTATACTACTTCTGAATAATAAGGACTTGTTGAAAAGACACTCTGACAATAAATAGGGAGCCCCGAGAAAATTACACACTTACATTTATGCATGCTTAGTCTGCGATCCCAAAACTTTTGGGGCTGGGATGCAGCAGTCCACTCAGGCAAGGAGAGCCTCAGGATCATGGCTTTTGCCTTGGAGAAGACCGGGGAAAGGTCTGAAGTCAGTTCCTGCAGCTCAGTAATGAATGTTAAGTGATGGAGTCGAGTGCTGTCATTATCTTTCTAGACGCAACATTGAGGCAAAAGAAGTATTTCTGAATTTCACTGATTTCATTTTGTAAGTAGCACAGGGAAGGGGTGATGAAAGACACAAGTGGGAAAGGAGCTAAGTAACTGCTGAAATAACAAGATCTGGGCATCAGATGTTTTGAGCCCCAAAAAGGTTTAATTGACTCCTCAGCATCACCCAACAAAGAAATGGATCTTTCCTGGGATCCATAGAAATCCTACTGCATACTTGTTTTTGTTCAACAGACATCGGGCATAGTACAAGCATAGAAAGGCTAATTATGAAATCCAACAGGGTAAGTAAGGTTGGTGGGGTAGTTTTGTTCTGCCGTAAATAGCAATCTGACGGTAATCAGAAGCTGAGATTTTTAAGCCATGCCACCACCATATCAGGCAGGGCAGTGCCGCCCAGCAGAGCCATAGAGTTAATGTGCTGCTCTCTCCTGCTGGAGGCTGAAGATCTCAGTCCGGGTAGGTCACACACCAGTAGTCATAGCAGAGCTGTATCCTCTCTGCCACTCAGGTTTATTTTGGTCACAATCACGACTGATATTCTATCATGACCTCATGCATCATGCCTTGTTAAACTCGAATTGCTTTCTACGCACCCATGTTCACACTTGAAAATGAGTTCAGCTGTGCCAGCCAGGTTTTCAGGCAGATGTTTATCAGCTTCACAAAACCACCACTCCATGAGAGAAAGCAAAGTGTTGGGAAAATGGTTGGTATTGCAGTTGAAATGAAAAGTGCTAAGGGAGATTTGCAGTGGAGGGAGCTTGACTGAAAAAGCACAGGGTAAAAAGCTGCTTCACTAAAGCAAGCGGGAGAATTTATACAGTTAAATCTTTGTAACGAGTTCCAATACTTAACGAGTTTTAATTCGTGTTACCATTTCCAAGATGTTAATTCCCTTTGCCACAAACAGTATTTGTTTTCCCAGCACCCGTCCGGATGTGCTTCCCTCCCAGACACAGAGGGGTGAATGAAAAATAGTCACTGTCTTAGGAAAACACTGTCCTCGCCATGCCAGAGCCTTCGGGAACTCGCAGTGCTCACAGCAGTGAGTTGGAAATATGGTCCAATAAACTCTGTTTGGCATCTCTTTTCAATTGCATAACAAGTGCACATCATGGTATCTCAGATGAAAAGAGCTTGAAAAGTATATTCGTTGGTATTTATGCCAGCTTTCGAGCTTTGTTAAAGGGTTCAGGCAAATAATCTTTATTACCAGCCGACAGTTGCAAGGAATAGCTCCAGATTACACTGCTCAGTAGAACAGTTTTGGTTTGTGCTGCTTATTTTTTCTTAGTAAAGAGTAAAGAGCTTTCAGCTGACTTTTAGGCCAAGTCTATGTTACAACAGCAACCTTACCACTGGTACGGTAAGAGTCTGCTGTCCACCCACAGGCAGGATGTAGGGTTGTAGTGTGCCACACGGCTCCGGTAGCAAGGAGAAATCCCGTCCTGTGGCATCAAGGGAAAATGTAACACTTTGTGATGAGTGTGATATAAGTGCTAAGATAAAGAGAGAGAGGGAGAGAGATTGAGCTGGTGGTTTCTATCGTAGTTTCTAGCCAAGAGTTGACAGAACTTTAATAAAGTCGCACCCATAGCTGTCACTACTGATAATGGACCATCAGCATTTCTACTCCAAATTCCTCCTGTCAGCTGTTTGAAACTCATCTGTAAAACGAGACCAAAATAATGATACAAAGCTCCAGTGGTGGAGCAGTATATTTTAAAGAAACTGAGATTTTTTTTATCTTGAGACATTTTTTTCCCCACTGTTGTTCACTTCTGCATCTAAGAAATAATTGTTGTTTATACCTGTAACTTGTTATGTTCCAGCCAGCTGCAAGAAATAGGCATCAACCAAAAGGCACTGCCTTCTGAAGGCTCTGATATAGTCCCTGTGAAATTAGTTCGCTGGCAGAGAGTAATTCCTAGCTATGAAAAGTATTAAAATATAAAAATACCTTGTTGGCTGTAGAGATAAAGAAACCAGGGACTCAACAGACATGGAGGCTGGCCTTTGCTTTAGCAGGGTTCATGGAACTATCTAAAGAAGCTTGCCACTGCCTGTACTATATTCATTATTCAAAGAGAAGGATTCAGCCTGCAGGGTTGTTTAATCCCGCACTTTTTCTGAAGAGCTAAGTATGCTTTACAAAAATTCATGATTGTGGTATCATGTGCTAAGCTTCATTATCATGAAAAAGCAGAAGTGAACTGCCTCAGATGATTAAGATTTTAAATCACTTATTGTAAACGGCTTAAGGAAACTTTCAGACCTCCTGACTCCCAGCACTGTGTAATGTCTACATGACCACAGATGCCAACACAGACAGCCACGCAATGATAGCTGGAGTGTGCAAAAATAGCCAGAAATACCCAAGTTTGATTTATAGCTCTGCCACTGATGTGCTGTATTGACCGTAGGTGAGTTGGTCTCTCATCGTCTCTCCATTACCCCATTCCTTAAATTAAGGATAGCGATGCTCCTCTACCTTTGTAAAATGCTTTTTTTAGATCAGTGGATCAATATCTCTGTATCACTCTAGGAATTATTACCATCCGTAATGATGATTAAAAAAATCCTCTTATCCTTATCACAGGAGCACCACACAGCAAATTATTCTGCTGTATTGCTAAGTGCAGATTTATATAACAGATACCAGCAAGAAGTCAACTGGGTTAATAGCATGCACTGAAAAAACCTGCTAATAACATGTACAGACAGTTGGATATACCATGAAAATTGTGGAAAAGCTCCAAATGCATATTCTTACATCTTCTAGGCTCCTAATTGTATGATTTTTAACAAAACATCGCCAGGCATATGGGACAAGTGAACATTCCTGCAGACATTGATTACAAGGATTTTTTTGTTTGTTTCTTTGCTTTAAGGGCAGGTTAGAAATGGCGTGGAGAGTTATACCATGGTCAGGCAATTTAATTTCATGAAAATCCATTCATAACTTTCCGATTCAGGGGTTTTCTTGATGATTTAGTAAAAGAAAATCAGTATTTGCATCATAATTAATTGCAATGAAAGGTAGGTGAGGAAGTTTTATGCCTATTTTTTTAATGGATATTCACTGCTCCTTCATAAGCTAAAGTAACGTGAAGTGCCAGCCATGGGGACAGCCTGGATTAGGGGCCACCTTCTGAGTTCTGTATGTGATGGGAAATAAGCATGGTGGAAGTGCTGGATTTCTATTTGGTCTTCAGAAGGACCTCCATGCCTTATTTCTTTTGCTGTAATATGGTAACATTTTAATTTTTTCCAATCATTATGGCATATTTAATTTTCTTTTTTTCCTCTGGTGAAACTCTTTCAAAGCTGGGAAGGAATGAACATGCCCAAGTGACCAGTGTCTTTGCTGGCCTTTAGCCAGTAACTCTACATCTCAGATCTCCATTACTGCATCTTCGAATCAATCTCTCCACAGAAAGAAGTCTAAA